GAGGAGCAAGTAGCAGAGGTTAAAATACTTGCCTGTGACTATATCATTGTGGTGACAGAATTCTTGGCAGGTTTTAGGGACAATAGGCAAAGGCACACAGAGCTTTCCAAATGCAGTCCATGAGCAAGAAAACAGACCACAGATGTGGGAAGAAAAGGATGCAGCAGTGAAAAACAAGAAGGACCGAAAGAAAAGTAGTTGTGGGGGCAAGCAATGGTACTGAGGACATCAGATTGAGCAGGAGGAGGGAAGGATGCAAAGGCAGAGATGAACGCCTAAGGACACCAAGGGCAGCAGTTTGATTTGCAGGGTCTGGGCAGGAGGCGCTGGGTGATTGAAGTAACAGGAGCTCTGGGCTCCTGCCAATGCTCTCTTCTGCAGAATCAGAAGCTAAATAAATTGACTCTTTCATTCCCACGGATTCCCTGTAGTTCTGTCCTGAGAATGGTGTCAAACCTGTCCAGGGTCCCAGACATGTCTGAGCATTTGGATGACAAGGCATTAGCCAGCATGCCCACCCCACAACACCAGCTCCCTAATGGGAAGCATTTGCTCTACACATGCACATAGTTTCCACACACAAGATGTCCCATGAGTCTTTCTGAAGTGTTGCTGGAGTTTCTTGCCAGCCTGGTCCCACAGCCGATTAGCCCCTAATAAACACACAAAGACTTATATTAATTTATAAACTATTGCTGGCTAGAGCTTCTTACAGGCTAGCTCTCTCTTAATTATTAACCCATAACTACTAATCTATGTATTTCTACATGACCTTATCTTACCAGAGAACATTGCCTGGTGCGATCTATCTTCCCGGTCTCTACATGGTGTCTCTCTCACAGCCCTGCCTATACTTCCTGCCTGGCTACTGGCCAATCAGTGTTTTGTTCATCAGCTATTAAGAGAAACATATACAAAATGACATCCCCCATCATCGAAGTGTCCCCAGAGCAGGTAACACGGAAGAAGCACAAAGTCCAATGGAAACAAGAAACCCACTATTTCCAAGTCCAGAGCAGAGCATTGGCTACAGAACAACCATCCTCTCCCCTTTCCATAAGTAATTCAATGTCTTCCAAACCCATTTGTGAATATTTGCCCAGCTGTGGTTCGGGGAGCCCTCCCTGTGTGTTCAGTACCATGAGAGATCTGCAAAATCCCAGGAGATACCTAGCTTTCTAGCTCTCCTCTCTTCTAAGAGGAAAGTAGGCTTATTCAAGGCTACAATGCCACCAGCAGAAGGTTCTTGAGTCCCAGAACAACATTCATTTCCCCACACACTGATATGCTCTATCACCTACAGTGGCCTTCTCCATCTTCAGCACATTGCCACCCAAGAAGACATTTGAGTGCCACACACAATAGAACTGTGACCATTGAGGGTTTAAGCCATAGGGACAGTCCCAGTTTCTATAATGAGGGGAATGGAGAAAGATAGTCCCAAGGCTTGTGCTAATGCTCAGTTATACAAATAAAATTGCAGCTTTTCTCAGCCTTCTTGAGTATGTAGAGTATGTGGAACTCATCTTTAAACCTATAACCTCAAGGTGGCAAGATGGCTACCACAGCTCTGGGCATCACACAGTCACTCCAGTGTCCCCAGAGAAAAGAAAGGGGGAAAGTTGAAGGCTCAGGGTGCAGGGTGGGGGAGAGTTTGGGTCCATCGGGGAAAATGTTTCCCCAAAAATGAGATTTTAGTTTACATCTTACTGCCCTAATTACATTCATGGTTACCAAGTAGTCCAGGAAAGAAGTTATCTAGCAAAAGGAAAATGAAACTGACTTGATTGGGCTAAACAAATGACAGCCCATTGACAGCATTGACAAAAACCACTACTTTGGAAGGTGGAAGAAAGGGATAGGGATAGGTCACTTGACACACTCAACAAACACCCTCCAAAACTCAGTGGTTTAAAACCAGACTCACTGTCCCTCATGGGTCAGAAGGTCACCTGGGTGGCTCTACTCACCTCAGCTGCGGACCACTGAGATGTCCAAATTCATGTAGACTCTGCTCCGCATGCCTGTCTGTGATGTGACATTATTCCTGGGAAGACATGAACACACATCTACTCACTCCAGATAGGGAACTCATGACTGGCCAAAGTACTGATACCACCAAGGTCCAACCTGGTGAACCGATGAGTTTTATTGGGCTGTTTACAGGACTCAGGGTGAGGGGTTACTTAGAAAAGCAGAAATGATTCCAAGACATCTAAGTACATCACCAAAGCCCACCTCAGCACAGGTGACAGCTTACAAAACTGGGGACCTGGAGCACCCTGCACAGCCTGCAGCCATCTTGACAGGTTGGAGAGTTCTTTCCATGGCTCCATTGGTCTGAGCCTTTTCCAGGAGATCAGCTGCTCTCTGCTTCTTCCAGGCTGCTCTGTCTCAGTCTCTTCTAAGCAGCTCATCTGCTCTGAGAGCAGCTCTTCATAGTCTTTATGGCCCATGTACTCTTGGGAAAGGAGGGGCCTGGTGAATCTGCTTGGTTTCAGGAACTTCCTATAGTTATTATGAGTTGTTTACTTCCTGTCTTAATGAACTTTCTGCAGAATTTCATCTCCCTTTAGAGCATCCTGCTGTTTCACCTCCTTGTAAACATGCTGACATAAAATACCCTGTTGTTTCACCCCCCTTCCCCCACAATGGAAGGGAACCTTGCAAGTGAGGGTGAGAGTCACTGGTCTGGTGCAAGAATACAAAAAGGACCCCACCATCAATCAAAGTGTGGACCCTCTTGCTCTAGTTGCATTGCACTGGCCTGCCATGTGGTCACCCAAAAGTCAAGGCTGAAGAAATGGACCTGTGGGAGGAGATGAATTCTCAGGGCACAGGGTATGGGTGCAGCAAAAGGTGAAGCCCCGCTCAGCTCCAGTTGCCCCATTGCTTTCCTCTCTCCTCCTTCACTCTCAGCAGCAGCCCAGACCGATTCTCTCCACTTTCCTGTTGCTTCCTTCTCAGTTCACAGGCCTCTATCTGTGCTCACTGTAGGGTGTGCAGACATCTTGGTGTAAAGCAAGGCACTCCACATTGCCAGCCATCACTCAGTCCCTACAATACGCAGGATCCATGAAGATGAGGTACAATCTCAAACCTCCCGTCTGGAAGCTTGGTCTGGCTGCAAATGGCCACAGGAACTTTTCAGAGCTCACTCCAGCCCCTGTCTGTCCATACGCACTTGGGCTATGTGCTGTTTTCTGAAAACAGGCGTCAGAGGCCAAGCTTTGAATTGGATCCATGCTTCATTCTTCCTCGAGGCACTGGTCAAAGGAGACCATTTTCATGAGGAAGATGTCTTTGGCCAGATCTGTGGGCTTTTTCTGTCCTTCAAACAAATCGATAGTGAATGCAGCCCCATACAGTCTTTTTTTGCTTACCTGAAAATGTTAAACAATGTGTTCTACATAAATGCATTGCGTGCAAGTGTGTGTGTGTGTGTGTGTGTGTGTGTGTGTGTGTGTGTACAGAAGCAATAGACTTCAGCTGAGACCAGCCTAAGGGCCTGATACTTCACTTGACATCATTAGTCAAATCCCCCGGGCCCAAGCTAGCAAGAGTGATGAACCAGCTCTCACTCATCCCTTCTCTCCTTTTCACCTTGCTATAACCCTACCTAACAGCTAGCAAAGGGAACAAGGCTCTCAAATGCCTTGATCACAGCTCATCTCTCCAGCCTGCTACTCCCACCTGGAATGGACGCAGCACTCTGGGCAACACCCTTGGAACTGCTTTCCTTCAGTGGCAAGGGGTGGTATTTGATGCTAATCTGCCCGGGACTCTGGTTTTTGACAGTTCTTAACTAAATGGAGAAAAGATGTCATGGAATGGTCCCTCTCCAGTCAGGGTCGGGGGACCTGGATGCCAGGCCCAGTCCCCCTGCACCTTCCCATCCTCGCCAGTATATGGACGGAAGGAGAGAAAGATCCTCACCACAGCTTGTGGACTGGCCATGTGCAGAGCCCACTTATGCTCCCCACAGCTTGTTTGCTATGCAGCTTCTCAGCGCTAGGAAGCCTCCAACACCAATCCTTGCTGTGACCAATTTGCCCTATGGAGGGAGTGTGTCCATGACTCTGTCTTTAGAGGGCCATGTTTATGAGATGGTCCTTCTAGCAAATAAGAGAACAAAGTCAACAGTCCTTTCTTTTAAGAACTGGAGCTGCTCTGGGACACGATAGGAGTGCAAAGCCTGTCAGGATCTCTGTGGGGTTAACACCAGACAAAAGCTAAGCAGTGCAAAGGGCTGGACTTATACCTGCTCCCTCACCGCCTGCCAAAAATTTCTGAGTGAAAACCCTAGCCCCTGAGGCTGAAGATATGGCTCAGTCAGTACAACACGCTTTCCACACAAGCATAAGGACCCAAGTTCAGATCCCCAGGAAAAAAAAAAAAAAAAGCCAGGTGTAGCAGTGCACACCTATAATTTCAGTCCTGGGAAGGAAGAACAGGAGAGTCCCTGGTGTTCCCTGGCCAGCGCGGCTAGCTGAACTGGGATGTTCCAGCTTCAGTGCAGAGGAGGAAGATAGCCAACCTGGATCCTTGGCCTGCATGTATGAATGCAACACACACACACACACACACACACACACACACACACACACACACACACACTCATACAACTCAGTCACACACTCTCACATATATACAACTCATTCATACACTCACACAGTCACACACACACATATACTTACTCATACACTGTCACACATATTCATACTCACACATACACTCATACAGTCACACACACACACACACATACACACACACACACACACACACACACTACCTTCAGCCCCTTAACCTGGAGATGGGACCTTACAATGGAACAAGTGACTATATAAGAAAAGACACCAGGAAGCTTTGCTTTGGTCTCTGTATAATGCTACACGCAGGGTCTTAGCCCAACCACAGAAAGTTGAGCTGGGTCTGAGGAAGAGTAAGTGTGCTGCTCACCCATTCCCAGCCTCCCAGGGACAATCAGATGCAGCAGGGAGTCTAGTCAAGCAGGAACTCATTTATTACCACACAGCAAGCATCTTTTAAAGGAAAAAAACTGCAGAGCAGGAAAACAGCCAGCCAATGGTTTTAAAGGCCAGCCTATCAAGCCCCTGGGTGCCCTAGGCTTTACCTAGTGAACACATGCTGTTCCTGCAATGACCTCATCTGGTTCAATCTAGGCAACCAATCATCTTTTTTTGTAAACAACTCAGGACTCGCCCATCTGACTTCCCCTCAGCACCATCTTTGGCTGGCTTGTGTGCCCTACAGATTCCCCTTTTTTGTTTTAGACTGTGGCCCATCTCATCTCGAAGTACAGGCCTCTTGACACCTCCGTAGAGGATCACCTCCTATAGCACCTTTTGTCAAAGTTCACTCAAAAGGGAGATATCCTCAGGGCTGAGCCTATCACAGTGTACTCGAGGGGTCATCAGTTGGGTTTCTTGAGTCTTTGTTCTGATTAGTCTGACCAGCCTATTGAAAAGGCAAGGCCCAAAGACACAAATTAAGGTTGTTTCTAAAAAGGCACCCAACGGGGTAGAGATTACCTTATCCAGGAGTCCGTTCCCATTTTCTCACACCTCCATTGTGCACAGTAGAAGGCGTCCACCCCACCACATTGGATATGCCCATTGCTGTTCAATTGCTCCCTGGGCATATGTAAAAGTCAGTGACCCTTAAGGCTGCCCTATTGGGAACATTGGGAGCAGCCTAGGGATTGGGGGTCTGATATGTGGGGCAGGTGGCACCCCCCACAACCCTCTCATTCAGGCCATCCTTGATGAGAAGTCCAGTCTCCCATGTCCCAAGATCCTTGGGCCAGGTCAGAGAGGTCGAAGAAGAGTGTGGGCCATCAGGTCTGAGGTCATTCGTGGTGCTGTTGAGGGCATCTCTATTGGCGGCATTGATCCATGTCATCTTTTGGAGATGATGGTGGTTCTGCTGGGTGGTCACTGGAGCAGACAGCATCAGCAGCAGGAGCATCAGAGTGGTCAGGAAGTGGGACATCATCTGTAATTTTTAAAGAACACAAGAGTTTCTCAAGGGTCCCATTCCCTTGGACATGGTTAGGTATCCTCTTATTTCAGAAGACAAGCCTTGACCACCATTGTCAATTCCTCTCCTTGTTGTCAACCTATTCTTGGTCATCCTCCTGCATTGTGGGAGCAGGCAGGAATTTTAGATTTCTGGCTGGAAACCAGATGGGTGCTTCCTCCCCTATAGGGAAGACTCATACAAATCCTCTTCCCATTGTAATTAATGGGACTGGGCCCCTCCATTGGGCTGTTAGAGTGTCTTTCCATTTGACCTGAACTTGGGTTTTGGGGTTTAGGTGGTCCCAATGTTTTTGGAACTTAGATTCAGTTGCTCCCTTAGAAAAATTTAAAATATTAATAGTAAACAAAGTCATTCCTGGTTGTAAATGGGGGCTGATTCCCCCTTTTTGTTTTAAAATAATGGTATGGGGGTCTAGCTCATAAGTGTCATTGGGCTTGGATCCTGCCCTTTATGATGGCATCCACTAGCAGATCTGCCCGAGAGTAGACCTGGAGTATTCTTCCCAAAGACGTATGGATCCATTCCAATGGTTCCCCTTCCTGGGTTAGAACAGCTGTAATCAGAGAGGCTCCAGCAAACAGCCAGAGGGATAAGGGCCTAGTCACTGAATACCTCCTTAGAGAGCATTTGTCCAAGGCCTTTTGAAAGACAAGGAACATCTCGAGATGTTCCTTTGTCCTAGTTATACTATCATGAGGTGCCTTGTCCTTTAGCAGGACATACAGGGGTACCAGGTCTTCAGTGGGAATTGACACCCAGGGTCTCAGTCAATTAATCTCCCCCAATAAGCACTGGAGCTGGGTCAGGGTCATAGATTCAGGCACCTCCAGAACAGGCTTAAGTGGGCTAGCCTGTGTTAATGTGAGGCGTGACCCAAGTACTTTGAAGGGGGGCACCTTTTGAACCGTTTCTGGGGCAACAGTAAAGCCCCCTTTTTTAAGCAATTGGAGCACCTGTATCACAAAGCCCTCTAGATATGCTGGATCCTGATGTCCCAAAATGAAATCATCCATATAAGCATATATTATTGAATCCTTTGACTTTAGCATAGACCTTAAGAGAGTAGCAAGATACTGTTGACAGAAATCCAGGCTATTAACCATTCCTGTAGGAGCACTACCTATTCAAAACATTGATCAGGTATGGAATAATTAAGTGAAGGAACAGAGAAGCAAATTTATCTCAATCCTCTGGATGTAGTAGTATGGAAATGAAGCAATCTTAATATCAATTACATAAATGTATATTCAGTGGGAATAGCAGGGGTCCAGGGCATTCCCTGTAAGTGGGTGCCCACTAGTTCCATCCTCTCGTTTATCTTGCACAAATCTTAGAGCGTGTGCCAAGCCCCAGACGCCTTTTGAATTACAAATATTGGAGTGTTCCATGGGCTCATAGAACACTTGGTCCCCTTCATAGAAGGGCGGGTATGTCCGAGCCTTAATGTTTGTCTACTGGCTGATGGAGTGCTAGCAGCTTAGGGTTAGTCAGCAGCCACTGCTCCACTCATACAGGGTTTTTTGGTGCCCATCTGACAGGCAGCACTGGGGGGGGAGCAGTGGCCCTTATGATTGAGGGTACACCCAGATAGACCTCTCAGGCTCCCCCCAGTAGTTGTGGAGGTTGAAAAACTCCTTCTCTCTGATCCCCTTTAGGTCCTTTCCCACCCTTCATGCCTCTTTCTCTTCCAGGATATCCTCATAAAAAGCCTGATGTGGTCACAACAGCATCCATTTGGTACAGCCTGTCCTGTTCCAGCAAATTGGCAGTAAGGCCTTTGACCACTAAAGGGCGTATCTTTCCTTGGTCCCCGTCTGGGCTGGTCCAGCGCATTAAGGTTACTGTTTCTCTTGATTGGGAGTTACCTTCCACCCGCAAAACCGAGGGCCCAGGTGCAAGCTCCCAGGTGGAAGGCACTTCCTCCTCCTGGAGTACTGTCCTCTCTGCCCCTGTGTCTACCAAACAGTGAAACTTCTTACCACCTATAAAAATGGTAATTTTTGGATGAAGTCCCTCAAACAAAGGGACAGTCCGGTAGGCTTGTGTTGTCGGGGTATGAGACCTTCCAACCCTACCTTTAGAGAGGCTTCCTCCCTATTTTAACAGGGCTCGAGGCTGCCCCTCCTCTAGTTTAAAGACTTCCCTTCCAGGTCAAATTTTGATCTACAGTCCTTCCAATGGTATCCCTTCCTGCACCAAGGGCGTGGGGTAGAGGGGGGCTTAGCCCCTCCTGGCCTGTTAGCAGGGGCCTGTTGAGGACAGTCTCTTTTAAATATCCCCCCAGCCCATATCTAAAGCATGTCCCTTTTCCCAGCAGTCTCGAGGACCCTTGACCCTGGGTTGCCAGGGCCTGGGTGATGGCCTCCATTATGGTGGTTGTCTATGCCTGTAAGGCCAGGGCCAGAGACTAGGATTGGTGTTGTTGGGTACCTACAACTTGGGAGGCTACCACCCATCTGCTCAGGGAACTGTCTTTTAATCCCATTCTGTGGTCCTCCATTCATCCCTTCCCATACCAGCAGTCTGATAAATTGTTTTCTGAGGTCCCCAGGTGGCAGCTTGAACCGAACACTCTGTTGGGCCAGGTCTATAAACTCTGGCAAAGACACACCAGGCTTCTCCCTCACCCCAGCTATGGGAGACTCATATGGTCCATCATCCAGTTTAGCCCAGGCGTTCTACCCAGCCTGCTTCACCGGATCCTGATACGGCCCACTGATCCCTGCTTGCTGAACCCCAGTGGAGTAACCGTTTCCCATTCCCAACAGCATAGCACAGGTAATAGGGATGGCGGGGTTAGCTTACCTATTTGCCTCCACTCATACCCTACAATCCTCTTGATAAAAGGCACACCATTTGATAAACTGAGAACTAGGGAGGACCACCTTAGCCACATCCAGCCAGTCTTTGGGGGACACACAGATGACAGGCAATATCCTGTAACAGGGTCTGTACCCAAGGGGAATTAGGGCCATCTTCTGCCACAGCCTTGCAGAGCTCTTTAAGATCCTTGACCTCCCAAGGATACCAGTCTAGAGGCCTGCCTAGCCCAGGACCAAGTTTACTGGGTAGGCTTGGAGGGCCCTAGTTGCATCCTCCCATCTCTCCTTGATTGGGTAGGCCTCCACATAAACTGGGCCTCCAGGTCTCAACTTGATGTTGTCCAGTCAATCATAGAAGTCCAGGTCCTGCAGATTTTCCCTGAGGGTGGTATAGGGGGACCCAACTTCCTCACTCCTGGGAGCTTAAAGCAGGGGTCTGGAGTTATCTGGGGCGGATGGTTCGGCCCATTCCTCCTCTGCCTCATCTTTGGCGGACCTCTCTGATCCTTCTCCTTCTCCCTTCTTCTTGAAAATAGAGTTACCCATATTGAGGGTCTCACTTACCCTTAGAGACCACTTGGCCTCAGCTGAGATTTAGGTCCTTCGTACCCCAAGTTGGGTGCTACATGCAGGGTCTTAGTCCAACCACAGAAGGTTGAGCTGAGTCTGAGGAAGAGTAAGTGTGCTGCTCACCCATTCCCAGCCTCCCAGAGACAATCAGATGCAGCAGGGAATATAGTCAAGCAGTAACTCATTTATTACCACACAGCAAGCATCTTTTAAAGGAAAAAAACTGCAGAGCAGGAAAAGAGTCAGCCAATGGTTTTAAAGGCCAGCCTGGGTGCCCTAGGCTTTACCTAGTGAACACATGCTGTTCATGCAGTGACCTCATCTGGTTCAATCTAGGCAACCAATCATCTTTTTTTTTTTTATAAACAACTCAGGACTCACCCATCTGACTTCCCCTCAGCACCATCTTTGACTGGCTTGTGTGCCCTACCACCACAGAGTGGGGGTGGCCATCTGGAAGCCAGAAAGAAACCTTTCCCAGGGAACCAAGTCAGCCAGCCTTGAGCTTGGACTGCCTAGCCTTCAGGCCTATGAGAAATTAAACACTTAGACTGGTGTTTTGAGAGCTGTGAAGGTTTAGGATGGCCCATATCATGGATCATGTGACAGAGAGAATGTAGTCACAGGAAAAGCCTCAGTGAGACCGCAGTGTGTAAGCACGGCCTGCAATCCCAGTATTTGGGAGGTGAAGGCAGAAAGATCATGAGTTTGAGGACAGCCTGGGCTACGTAGTGAGACCTTGTCTCAAATAAAACAAAACAGAAAAAAGAAAAGAAAAACATGCTCATCCTAATTCCTAGGACCTGGGAATACATCAGATCAGGAAGCCAAGATTCGAAGGCAGACAGTGGAAATCAGTCTGCTAATCGGCCTCGCCTAACATTAGACTGTAGTCAATTACCTAGATATATCCAATACAGTCATGAAGGCTTCCATATGTGGATGAGGGAGGAAGAAGGGAGGTTGAGTCATGCTGTACTGCTGCTTTTGTGTCAACTTGACACAAGCTAGAGTCATTAGAGAGGAAAGAACTTCAGCTGAGGAATGCCCGCATGAGATCCAGCTGTATGGCATTTTCTCAGTTAGTGATCCATGTGGAAGGGCACAGCCCATGGTGTGTGGTACCATCCCTGGGCTGGTGGTCTGGGTTCTGTAGGAAAGCGGCTGAGCAAGCCATGAGGAGCACCCCTCCATGGCCTCTGCATCAGCTCTTGCCTCTGGGTTCCTGCCTTGTTTGTGTTCCTTTCCTGACCTCCTTCAATGATGAACAGTGATGTGGAAATGCAAGACAAACAAACCCTTTCACTCCCAACTTTCTTTTAGGTCATGGTGTTCCTTTGCCGCAATAGAAACCCTAACCAGGACACATACAATGTCAGAGACACAGTCTCTGAAGACAGAAGAGGGGCCAAGAGCCAAGACTTGGACAGATTCTGGGGTGCAGCCCTGCCCACATTGGTGCTAGCCTAGTAAGACACTTTCCAGGCTCCCAACCCCCACCCAACCTGGAGCTTGTGTTGATACATTTGTGCTGTGTTGAGCCATTGATTTTTTATTACAGCATAAACTGACTTGCTATCAGTGTTTACTGGTGTGCCATGGAGAATCACTGAAGTGACCTTGACTACTACTATGTCCTGTACTGTCCCAACCCCCATCCCACAGGACTTACCGGAGAACAAAACGGTAGACAAGCTATGCTAAAGTCATTCCTTGCTCCCAGGATTAATTGGTGAAATTTGATCTCTGTCCCTCTCAGTCTATCAGATGACTCAGATGGGTCACTTCAGGCTAATGCTCTTTCCTCCAGAATAAGGTTACCATTGAAAAGACAATAATTTCACAGATGCCCTGAGGATGATTTTGAGAGCAGATCTTACTTCGTGGTGATTTTTGTTTCTGTAGTAATTATAGCATAAAGCAAACAGAAAGGCCTGGGGACACCTCCCTCCCAAACACCCCTTTGTCCCTCTTCTGGCCACCACCCTGCCTCTCTTGCTCTCTGCCAACTGAGTTCCCATGATGCCTTTGCTTTACCAGTGTCTCTGATTTGGTGGTGGTGGGGGGGGATCATGGTTTCTCCTCTCAGGAAACCCTAGCTCCTCTGGCTCTGTCATATCTTTGTCTCAGCCACTCAGAAAGCAAAGGTTTATGTCCTGTGCTTCTCCACGAGAGCCAGGGTCACCACCTGACATTTTGGGATTGCCCTGGGATCTGTTCAATGTCTACTCCTGTGCAGCAACTTTCCCTCAAGAGAAAAAAGAATCTCAATTTCTTTTCAGGGGGCACCTTGTGGTCAACCAGCTGGCCAAAGCTATTCTCCAACTTGTCAGTCTGTGTTGTGTAAGAGCATTTATGAATAGAAGATGCAGGATGCTGGGTACAGTGTGTTCTTTCTCGTTGATAACGTTTATTTATGGTCTAGGCACTTGACAGCACTATTTCACTTATTCCTTATAACCCATACAGACACAGAATTGAAGATGGAGTTCAAACAAGAGAGATAATTTGTGCATAAAAGCACTTGGAAGGTGGGCAGTGCCTAAAGAATGACCAGCCTCACCCCCAAGATTATGCTCTGGCCTCCTCCCTCCCTCCCTCTCTCCCCCCTCAACATGCATGCATGCATATCTGTACACATACATCATTGCACACACAAGCTTAGTAAATAGCAGAGTCAAGATTCATATTAGAGCCTACCCTAAGCCTATTCACACTGGATGGTAGCATGTGTGATGTGCTACGCATGGCACCTAAGGAAAAGAAAAAAAGAAATTATATGGCCCCCAGCATCTTGCACTATTACATACAGTATTGAGCCCAATGTGCTCAATGTATACTCATTTGAACTGTATAAAATTGCCTTTTTGGACATTGAAAATAGACACTGGAATCTTATAGAAGCAGGATGTTGTGATAAACATACCTGTTAAGACATGGGACTAGGAGAGCAAGAGCTTTCTGGTTTAACTATCTAGATTCAAATCGCTCCTCTGCTGCTTGTTCATTCTGTGATCCTGGGCTAGTCACTTAGCCTCTCTGAGTCTTTGCTTCTTCATCCACAACTGGGGACACTACTGTCTAGCTCACAGGGCTGTTGTGAGGGTAATGTAGGACTGTCCTCCAGGCCAAACTGCTGCCATCTTCCGGAATTCTGCTGGGCCTACTTGCACAAGAGCATTGTATCCTGTTGATTATTGACCATTCCTCGTAGAATGGAGGGATGGGGACCTCACCTGAGTATACAACCCCCCTTCCTAATTGCACATGATCTTGTGGGAGAGGCTAGATGACATGGGTGCTGAAGATTGTCACCCAGCTATGGGGCAGCCTCCATCCTTGCTGGGCACAGACCCTACACTGCAGTTGCCTTAAGGTCACCCATGTCCCTGTTCCTCACCTTTTACCTATTGATCTGTAAGTGAGCACAGTAAACTCATTGAACCCCAGTCTGAAGTCAATGTGTCCTCCCTCAGTATGTCTTTGGGACCTCAGAAGGAATGAAAGATGTTGTTTATGTCTCCCTTAGGGAAGGAATTTTAGCATCACAGAGTTAAAGGGCTTGCTGCTTGTAAGTCACTAAATAGATTATATGACACCAATACTTAACGTTAGCTATTGGCATCACAATACTATGATCTAATTCTATGGTTGGGGAGTGGAGGTGGGCAGTGGAGAATGGGGCCAGGATGGTAGAGAACAGGAGGAAAGCTGTGGCAGGAACATAACAGAGCTTATAGGACACAGCTGTTTATCACAATGCCCTAGACCATTTCACTCCCCATCTTCACAGGACTCCAGAGAGCAAGGCTGGAGCAATTTCCATATAACCTTCCATGCCTCTCCCACCTGTGGAGACCCAAGAAAAAGATGTCTGTGTTGGCCTTCCATATTCTTCTCTGAAATGCCTCCTGAGATAGATGAAGGCAAGGTAGCCATGGGAAGGACAGGAAGAGCCCTGAGAGCCACTGGGCTTGGGGTCAAGTCATGTGAAAAACTGGGAGTCTGGAATACCTTCCTGGGAGCTGGGACTAGGGAGCAAGCGCTGTACGATATGGGGCTACCTCCCCATTTACTGGAGCAAAGTCACAGCAATGTGCGTGTTCATGTCCTGTGGTTCCTTTAGCCACATACCACAAACTGAGCAGCCTAGAAGGGCAGATTTAGAGGACAGAGGCCCAGAGTGATGGTGTCAGAGGGGCACACTCCATGACAGCTCCAGGTAAGGCCCTCCTCACCTCTCTTCAGCTCTGACAGTTTGCTGGTGCTGTGCATGCCTCCTCTGGCTCTGTCTCCTCTTCCTATTAGGACCCCAGTCTTTGGATCAGCAGCCCCCTAATCCAACCCAACCTCATCTTCATTAAATGCATCTGCAAAGACACTGCTTCCAAATAAGGGCCCATTCTTTTATTTGCTTTACCATTGTGATTTAACCAATTGTAATTATGCAGACTTATGAGGAATGAGGTCATCTTATTATAGATCTGTACAATATAAAATTAATTAAAGTACTTATTGTTTGAAACAATAACATTTGAAATTTAAACTCTTAGCAGTTTTTTTTTTTGGTTTTTTTGTTTGTTTGTTTTGTTTTTTTTTTGTTTTTTTTTGTTGTTGTTGTTTTTAAAGACAGGGTTTCTCTGCATAGCTTTGGAGCCTATCCTGGCTCTTGCTCTGGAGACCTCGAACTCACAGAGATCTGCCTGCCTCTGCCTCCCGAGTGCTGGGATTAAAAGCATGCGCCACCAATGACCGGCAACTCTTAGCAGTTTTAAAAGGAAAGTAGTTCACTGTTATTATCTATAGTCACAACACTGGGCAATAGATCTCAAGACTCATTATTTTATTTTATGTGTATGGGAGTTTTATCTGCATGTATGTATGTCTGCATGCTACACACATGCAATGCCAGTGGAGACCAAAAGAGGGTGTCAAATCTCCTGGGGCTGGAGTTACAGATGGTTGTGAACGACTATGTTGATGTAGCATTCTCTTGAAGATCAGCCAGTGCCCTTAACTGCTGAGACTTCTCTCCAACTCCAACCTATTCCTTCTCTCCAGCTGCAGCTTTGAACCATTCACCAGTACATTCCCATCAGCCACCTGACAAAGTAGGCAATGTTAGGGGCAAATTTCTACATTAACCTTCAAACTGGGTTTTCTTTTTTCTCAGCTAAATCTTTTTGGAGAAAACTGAGCAGGCCTGTGTTTATTCCTGTCTGTCATCTTCACAACATGAGCTGGATGTGTCCAAGTGTTCTCTCCACCACTTTTACCTTTCAAATATGATTTGGCTGTGAGTGCCCCCAAATGTGTCCAGCATCATTCACTCTTGAACTATGACTTTTAACTGGGTATGTTCAAGGAAGAACTCACCTGGAAAAGACTTCCCTGTTGTGGAATATTATTTTAAGCAGGCAAAGTTGTGTTACATTTGTTTTTGTTGCATTTGTTTAATGATGTAAGGATGTGTTACAATTATTTGTGCTGCAGTTCTTTAATTAGGAAAAGATGTCTTGCATTTGTCTCACCTTGCCCACCTAAGATACCTGATCTATCTAATAAAGAGCTGAAAGGCCAATAGCCAGGCAGAGAAAGAATAAGTGGGGCTGGTGGGCAGAGAGAATAAATAGGAGAAATCTAGGCTCAGGAGAAACTAGGGAAAGAATGAGAAAGGAAGACAGAAGAGAACAGGGACACACCTGGGGCAAGAAGCCAGACAGCTGCCAGCAGACTCGAGAAGCAGTGAAAGGAAGATATACAGAAGGACAGAAAAGTTAAAAGCCCTGAGGCAAAAAGGCAGATGAAGAGAAACAGGTTAATTTAAGTTAAAAGATCTAGCCAGAAAAGACCTAAGCTAAGGCTGAGCATTCATGCTTTGGGAGCTGGTTGGTGGCCCAAAAGCAAAAGCCTACTACAATAACCTGTATGAACATATAGTTGCCTCAATAACATTTCCCTTTCCTGGGTCAGGGGTCAGGGGGAATTGTTTTGGAAGTGACTCCTATGTTCCTTACCTCTCATGTTAGTCTTTCTCTGCTCTTGTGTTTCTTGGCTACCACCAAGGTGTGAACCCACTGCCCTGAGTTACATTTCTTTATCCCCTCACCTCCTAGCATCTGGTGACCACCATTCTACTCTCCGGGAGTTTAATTGTATATAGAATCTATATACAAGTGAAACCATGTTATGAGTTCCATGTGGAGCAGTTACCCAGCATGTACGAGGCCCAGGGTCTATCCCTAGCACCACACAAATGTAAAGAAACAAAAGTGAACAGTATTCATTGTTTTTGAGACTAGCTTATTTCACTTAGCATTTCACTTATCCTCTAAGCTCATTCACATTCCTGCAGATGATGGGATCCTCCTCATTTGCAGGTGAATAGTATTCCATTCTGCTTCTATACAATGTGTCTATTCATCACCTTCATGGGAGCCCTCCCCCCAATCCAAGCTGTCACTTACAATTATTATATGACACCCTAAGTAAGTACCTACTAGGATGACATCTAGCCTGTCTTCCATCATGCACACTTGATTTGGCCCCCACTGGGACTGTGAAACATCTAACAGCTCCCATGTTCTTGCTCTTTTTTTGCAGCTTTGCCCGTCTTTCCCTCTAGATCTGCATCGCTAGTGAGGTCAGAGGTCACAGGCTTAGTCACCTGTGTGTCTTCAGCACTAGCATGGTACAGGCGCAAAGTAGGACAGAGATGAC